GATGTTTTCGCAATAATTCATGTGTAAAATTAAAATTGCAGTTCTGTCAATTCTGCAAAATCTTATATTAATCGTTACTTTTATTTTGTTTATTTTGTACATTATATTTTATCGCCTATGTTAAATCAATTTTTTTAAAGGAAACGCAAATTTAAATGAGAATATTTTCTGGAAAAACGTAAACTGTAATAAGAATATTATATATGTTTACTTCCATTCTGTTATCAAAGAAACCTCATATATTACAGTTTATCGTCTATTTTAAATAAATTTTTCATAAATGGTGATCGCGTAATATTATTTGTAAATACAGGGTGTCCGATAATTATTCGTGGGCATGTAGAGCGGACTAAACTGAGACAGAAGCCTCTATCATTTTGCAATTTTCGCAATAGTTAACAAGATATTAATTGCTAAAAATTGCCGAAAATTGGTATTCAATAATTTTTTAGTCAAATACTATCAACTTTACAGAAAAACTGCAAGAGATGAAAATTGTTTATTTTTTAAATTCATTTATTATGTCTAATGTTCATTTATTCTCTATCCATTTATATTTGTCTAATGTATTTATTTTCTGTGTTGTTTATTTATTGTTTAATGCTCAAATTTGATAGAAATAGAGAATATTAGTGCTTTTAAAGACAGACAAAAAGTTTTTTTAACTTATTAGAAAAAAGTTAAGTCAAAAATTTAATATGTTTATAATTATGTGTTAAAAATAACTAAGAAAAATTGAAAGTTAACTCGTATAGAAATAATTAAGTTACAAATTATTAATTTTTTAACCTTAATATTTAACTTTTTAAAATTTATTTTATTAGTTTTTACTATCTAATCTTAATAATACTCAGTATTTTACAAAAGATAGACGCTGAATTTTTGATAAAAGATAGCAACTGAATATTATCAAACGAATCTCAAACAAATGTTGACAAGATATAACACATAAAGGATGTAAATTCTGATTAAAATAATTCTGATTAATATAACATCATTATTATTTATCAGCATGCACGTAAATATTCATAAGATAGCATTTATTAATTATGTAAGCTCATTTTCAGTTTTAAAGTATTAAATTCTAAAGAGATAAGATATACATGAATTAATGCTACGTACTGTTTTTATGGTAAAGTACTTTTACGATTCATTTTAAAGAACTCCACATTAAATATATGGTGAATTGTAGGGTATCAGTAAATTAAGTTAATTTTCACATATATAGTAATGCTTAATCTAATAAACAAAAAAATATAATGTCATAGAGATCAATAATGAATATTTTCTGAGCTATGATGTAACAAAAGTGTGAAACGATTTGTACTTTACAGTGTACAATTATAAGTAAAGCTTCGATATATTCTGGAAATCCTACGTGTATCATTCAATTCTATAATTTTTTTAAATTAATTTGAAAAAAAGAGACAGTATTGATACAGAAAATTATTTCGATGTTTCTGTTCTTGGCATCTTCTTGAAACAACCTGAGTTTAACAACGTGGACGTGATAGGAAGATACTATTGAAAATCACTTGTACTAAGTTTTTAAATATTTTTTTAATACATTTAGTTTTATATGATTGCTACATGAAAATAACATTGTGTTACATATCTTTTACATAATATACTAAAATAATTACATAATATGTAAAAGATATAAAATGTCAGTTGGACGACACTGACATCACAGTGATCGAGTTCTTTGATAAATTATAGCTCAAAAACTGTTTATATTATTGCGCCTGACGTTATTAATCTACAAGGCCGCGTTAACAAAATTTACACTCAAGGGCTTGTGATCTCTAAGCGTTCCCTTCAAAAACGCTTACTTCCATGATTTTTTTGGGATGATAACGTGTCGCAATTTTCCATGACAGAACCAGTGG